GCGTGAGTCCCTCCTCTCCCCGTGCTCTGCCCCCTCTCAGGACGAGGATGGGCTGGAACACGTGAAATCTCTGACCTGGCGCAAGAAGAGCTGCTGCCACCTTCCCACGGCCTCACCCCGGGGCCCTCCTCTGCCCTGCGAACCCCAGGGGAGCACCTGCACCGGGGCGAGGGCTCTCCGCGGGAGCAGCGCCTGCACATCCCGCCTCGCCCCGCTGCCTCCCCCCCAGCCTTCGGCGCCCGGGTGGGGAAAGCTGCTGGCTGCGCTGGCCGGGCTGAACCACCCTCCTCCCCCCCTGCTTCGGCTGCGGGGGCCTGAAGCCGCGGTGGGATCGCAGGCAGCGACTCACCTTGTGCGTGGGAAGCCGGGGAGTTTTGAGGAGGATGCTTTTATCCTCTCCATTCAGTGAGAGAAAGAAAACGGAGCCCTTGCAGCCTGAAATGTGGGTGTCAAGCTCAGGGTGTTCATGGGAGATTTAAAAGCGCTGCTATTATTATTATTTTTTCCCCCCCAGTCCGTGCTTTACCTGCTGTCTGACACCCCGGGCGTCAGGCAGCCCTCCCTGGTGCTGCTGGGCTGGCTCTGCACGCAGCAGACATGATGACAACCGGGAGGAATGAGATCAGAAATCTCCAAGAAGGGTGCGGCCGCCTTGTAATCGTCGGCTGCAAAGAGGGAGAGGGAAAGCAGGAGCCCTCGTGGAAGTCGTGACGTCGTGCTCTTAACGGGGCGCAGGCTTCACCCCAGCTTCGATCTGCTGCGCTGGGACGAGCAGCAAAACAACTTTCTGGCAGGAGTCGTCTCACCAAAGCCATCAGCATCCAAGGCCTTCAGCTTAATTTCAACTAAGGAAGAGGGGGAAGAAACTGCTTTCCTGCTCCCCCACCCAAGACTCTGGAAAACTTGAGATAACCCGCGCCAGGCTGACAGCAGCGAGGAAAGTCCCTGCGAGGCTGAAATAGAAGCAGCAGAGGAAAATATTTTCTAACCAGATAAGGGGCCAGTGAGGTCATTTTTTTTGGAACGGGGTGCGAGATTTTGGTCACCTTCGTTGAACAAGGGGAAAAGACCCGAGAATAAAATAACAGCCCTGGGCTGTTCTGTTCCTTGGAGTAGGTAAATGCGCAGAACAAGTTGCTCTCTACCCTACCCCATCCCCGCCCTCCTCCAAAGCTGGCTGAGGACCGTGGGCTGGTTTAGACATCATTTATTACGTTGTTTGCCGGAACTTTCCCTGTTGCACAGTGTCCCTGTTAAAAACAGTTCTACAGAACAAACTTTTGCATCCAGAGGTGAGGTGGTTGTGAACGTAGCCCTGCTGAGCTGCTGGCAAGGGTTTTTTTTTCCCCAGACGGGAGTAAGATTGCTGTTTCCTTCAGGGCTGAGGATTTTTTTATTTTAGTAAGTTTGATATAATTTTTTTTTTTTTTTTTTTCCTAAGAGGCAATTAAAAAAAAAAAAAAAAATTTAAAAAAATCCAGTGTTAGATTTACAAAATTCAGTGTTCAGAAGACCTGAGGACTAAAAACCACGCTGGGTGCTCAACTTCCCTGCCGGGGAGGCTGCTGGAGTATCTGGACTGAATTTCCAGATAGGCCAGTGAAGAAATTGTAGTAACATTTCCATTGTTTGGAAGCTTCCAGTTTTCATCAAGCTCTGGGGGGGTGTGTGTGTGTGTCTCCTGGCACGGACACCACTGCCAAAGGCTCGTGGGCAGGCTCTTGCTCCATCCTGCCTGTTCCTACAGCAGCTTTTCCCCTTTGCTCCCTCTCTGCTCCCTGTAGCGACGCTCTGGCGATGCTTTCCCAGCGTTCAGCTCTCTTGCCTTGGCCTCGAGTCACTTTCTGCAGCATCTGCCCTCCCCAGTGCCAGCCCCTGGACCCATCATTTCACAACGCGGCGCTGATGCAGCCGATCTCTGGCTGGAGCCCCACTCCTTGCAAGGCAGCGATGGTGCCAAAGCCTCCCCCTGGGCTGTTGCTCCTCCCCAGCCTGCCTTTGGCTGGGCCAAGCAGCGCTGGCGTTGGGACAGGACTCGGGGCGTTACGGGGTGCTCTCCCACCACAGACCAGCGTTGGCAGAGGACGAAACCTCCTGCTGAGGGCACTTCTTGAGCAAAAATGCCCCGTAGGCAGGCGCTGAGCTTGGAGCCAGGCTTGGCCGCTTTCCTGCACGACTCTGCTGTGACCGGGGCAGCAAACAGCGCCGGCGCTGGGGGCAGGAGCCCCAGGCTGCTGCTGCTCCTCCTCTTGAGTGCAGCAGACACAGGGCATCAGTCCTCCCCATCGGGTCGCTGCCACAAACAAAAAGATTTAAGTGGAATGGGTTGTTTCTCCTCCATCATCCAGCCAGCTCCCGCGGGCAGCGCTTGCCTCCTGCTGACACGTGTGGTCCTTTCCCGTCCCCATTGCTCAGACGCGCTCCGGTTCGCTTCAGTCGTGGCCTCCTTCACAAGCCAAGCGCTGGCGTCCTTCTGAAATGACCTTGGGTCAAGAGGAGCACCGTCGCTCGGGCTCGGCCCCTGCAGAAGCCAACGTCACGCAGCAGAGGAGCAGTTCGCAGCCAGGCTTACGGGCGAGGTTTATCCCTTCGCATGTGCCTCCAGGGAGGTGTGCATGTGTGTGTTCTGGGGGACTCCTCTACTTGCTCCCATGGAGATGCAGTTTATTTTAGGTCAGAGTATATTTTTAGAATGGGCATGGCTTATTCCACCGCTGTATGATTGCACCGCAACAGGTCTGGTCCCTGGGACGCTTGGAAGGCTGGAAATTCTTGTGTACTTCCCCAGCACGGTTAAAAACAAACCACACAAGAAGTAACAATTATAAATATACAACTTTAAAAAATTACTGTTAAAGATTTATTGCAATAATACAATAAAATTTAGAAAAAAAAAAAACAGAAAACAAAAACCAACAAAACCATTTGTGTTTAGTTACATCTAGTTCGGAAGTTGCAGACAGAAACCCCGAGTTTTTGCAGGTGACGAGCAACCCTTGGGTGGCCCACCCGGGACCCTTCGAAGGCTCCTGATTTTCAACGGAGGGCTGGGCTCTCGAAATGAGGCTCTCCCTCGGCAGCTCAGGTCGGCCACCCCAGATCGCTGGTCACGGACAAAAGCCCCACGGCCTGAACGGAAATTCCCGCATTCACGCTACGCAAAGTGTTCCGTAAACTCTCAGCTGGCTGCCTTCGACTGCCTGTAATTACAGATATTCCTGCCCTCCCTCCCCCGCCCCCAGAACAACCTGGAAAACTAATCCTGGCGATTGCACTCAAGGTTTGGACACACACAGTTCTTCCTTGGCTACACATGTGCAAAACACTTGACAGAAAAGCCCCCACCACAGTCTGTGTTCTGTTACAAAACTGTCCCGTGAAAAGACCGATCCCGCTGCGTTTAACACCCTCGCGGTGCCGTTGTGCACTTCCAGAATATGACATGGTTGCAAATAAATTATTTGGAAAACACGATGAAGTATATGGCTTAAAAAGGGTTTTTTTTTTTTGTGTTGGTTTTTCTTTCCTTAAGTACGTACATGACAGCGCACGAAGCAGAATCGTGGCCTGACCTTTAGGGGTTCGAAGTAGCACAAAGGCAGCAATGAACGGGGGCCTGAAATGCACGTTAAAAACAACAACAAAAAAAAGAGGAAGATTTACGGCAGGGTCCAGTGCAAAACAAACGGGGAACAAGAAGGGGCTGCGCGATGCTGAGGGTCCCCCGTACAGTACTGGTGTGTGCTGGTTGCTCCGACCTGCAAAGGATCCGATAGCTGCGAGCGAGTAAAGTGCTGGGGACCGAGCAGCGACCAAACCCGCCCGCCCCCGGCCGGGGCAGCGCTCGCTGCCGGGGGGGGGCGCTGGGGGACACCGTCCCCGTTCAGGCTGCAGAAGTCAAGGGAGTCTTGGCTGTTCTCTTAAAACGAACCCGATTATTGGGTTTAGACCGAAAGAATGGCGGGACCGAGGGTGTCGTCACCTAACAGCGCGTGTGCTGCTAGGGCAGAGTTAAGGGTCTTTGGTTTAAAAAAAAAAAACCTAGTGACAACAGACGCCCAACCCCAAGGCCAGAGAGAAAGAGCTGCCGCAGGAGAGGGGCGGGGGGCTGGGAGACACCATTCTCCGCCGGTAGCCCCGGTGTGGAGCTCGCC